AGAAAAACATTATAGAAAATGCAGATCCACGATGTGTGAGATGAAAATAAAATATAATAAAAATATTAGAATAAAATAAACATTACCTTGTTATAATAGTGTTTTATAATTAATATATATCGATAACTATTATATATGACAATAAAATAAATATAATAGAATATTAGAATAATATAATATTACCTTATATAGTACTTGTAATAGCGCTTATAATTAACACATTATCCAACTATATATATATATATACTGTATATATGTGTGTGTGTGTGTGTATAAGCTTATTTTATATTATTTAGACACTTATAGGCTATAGTTTGACAGAATGTTCTAATTCAACATGCCATGGGAAGTCAATCTTAACATTTTCTTATATTGATATTGTTTATTTCTTATTCCTCAGGCAGTTCATCAGGCTCTTAATGATTTAATCTGCCATCTTTTGGAATATCTGAAGGCCATGTACCAATAATTCTTAACTGTAGCATTTGTTATAATAAGACTAGCCTATTAATCATAACCAGGCCAATAATGACTTTATTTTAATTAATATAGCATTTGTTATGAAGAAACGACCGCCTGCACATTTAGAGCCAATAGCTACAACATGCTACAGCTGTAATATAAATCTATAGGGAAAAATCTATTCCCTTCAAAGATTATCTAACATAAATTCTACAAGTTCGACAACATTTTACACAATAAATAAGCCTACAATAAAACGTGATAAATTCTAGTAAAGGTGGTCATGATTTAAAAAGATTTTAATAGCCTATATGTTAGTGCTGGTTCAAGACTTTTCTCCTCTTTTCATCAGTCTTTTTAGTTTATTTGCCTTTTTTAGATAATGTTCGACTTTCTCCATAGCATTTTAAAGTGGCTGTTTCTCTAAATAATTCAAGTAGATCATATTATTTGACCATCAGCTTCGTGATAGAAATGGCTCGTGCAAATCTTATTGAAACATTTTGGTCGTGCAATGTTGCGTACCTAACCCTAGCCGGTCGATCGGTGCATCTCTATTATAAATATACTTTATCCTTATAAAAATACCTAAGATTGCTTTAAGAACACAAACCATATATTTTCACAATTGTATGTTTATTTTCTTCAAGTTTCCTCAATTAAAATTTCTCTATCTGCATTTTATTCAGCGATAACTGGATACCTTTGTCCATATTAGGGATTTCCTGGAGCATCGTCAGTGCTATTACTTCCGCGATGCATGTGTGGAGTTTCTGCGCAAGAGCGCCCTCCAGCTTCCAGTA